GAGAATTTTTAGAACAAAACAATGTTAAGCACATAAAGATAGCAACGGGATCGCCGCAAGCCAACGGACAAATAGAAACAGTAAACAGAACTTTAGGCCCCATGATCGCAAAGTTAGTCGACCCAGATAAAGTTCTACATTGGGATAAAGTAGTGGAGACAGTTGAACATGCTCTTAACAACACAGTACAAAGGACGATTAACGAACACCCGCCGAATGTTATTTGGAGTCTCGCAAAGAGGTGAAGTGTCTGATCCTCTAAGCGGCTGCCTGGAAGAACTTAACAATCACAGGAATCCGAGAAACTTTGACGTAATTAGGTTAAATGCAATCACCCGCCAAGAAAAAGTTCAGTCTTACAACAAGAAGACAACCAACACAAGACGAAAAAAGCCACACGTTTACGCTTATAATGATCTAGTCATGATTAAAAACTTTGCCACTTTTAGGAGTTTCTAAAAAACGTATTCCAAAATTCGAAAGGCCTTATAGAGTGACAAAAGTGTTAAGAAATGATAGATACATCTTAGAAGATGTAGAGGGATTTCAACAGTCAAGGAAACTGTACAAAGGAGTATGGGCAGTAGCGAACATGAAACCATGGTTTGAAAAAGACAGGTGAACAAAGCTAAGAAAATTATGGTGAAGCATTAACGTAGAACACTAAGTTTAAAATGTACTCAGCCGTAACAAATAAGTCGAACAAGAAGGTTAGGAGTTCAGGAGCACTTCGGTCAGGATGGCCGAATTTTAGCAGGTTATTTGTTTTAAGCATTATATCTTTTGAATAAGCGCGCGTCGGTATCGTCCACGATACCGATACATACGATAGATACCAATAGGTTAAGTAATCGGGATTGCGGGAAGAACCGTGCGGACCGGTCGGATACAGAAAGAATAATAAAAAGAAAAACTATTGAATGATAATCCGAGTGTGTGCCTATTTCTTAATTCACCAAGGGCCGCCTACAATATCTAAGTATCTGATATAAAAAGTACATATAACGCGTACGAAGCTTCTCACGTTCCTACTCGTAGTTTTAGTAAAAATGTAAATAGTTTTAAGCGCATACAATAGCGAGACAGAATTGTAATTACCGCAGCGACTGTCACAGTCGCATTGGGGAAAATTCATTAATTGGATTTTCATCCAAATCCCATTAAATATATGTATAATCCCATACGGATGAGCGGATGTGGGCGAGATGCCAACCCAATGCATGCACAGAGCTTTTTATGTTGAGTTGGGTTCGGGTTGGCTCTGACATTTTATTCTCTGCAGAAACACAACGGTAGCCGGGGTAACGAAATTGAGTTTGACAGAGAAAAAAAAAACAGAGGTTTTCAATGCAATAATAGAGTGTGAATGGAACCAAAAAGTATAATTAATGGCTTGTTCGCTAATTAAGCGACGGCCAGCTCTGAGCAACTGCCACAATGAGCCCAGTTGGCAAAACTTTACACCACCGAGCAAGGGCAGACATAAGTCCAGGGAATAAAGCTGTTACCAGCTTTGTCTTCATTTCTACGAATACGGACACTCTCATACCCGTAACCTAAGCTTTAATTATGTACCTATATGTACATATGTAAACCATCTATCTATACATAGTTAGTAAAGAAACTTTGTTTAAAAAAGTTGAAGTGGTTCGTCCTGTTGGTCAAAAAAATAATAGTTTCCTTAAAAGCGGAAACTATCTGAAAACTGCATTGTTCTCGTTGAATCACCTAGCAAAGAGGCAGGATTACTATTATCCGGGTCAAAATATTCCAAAATAAAACATTTGGTTTCGTAACATCCACCATCGCAGTGAGAGGAAAGAAGATGACAACAATTTCAGTACAATTTGCTATGAATTACAGCTGGAAAAATACAAAGATTATAACAGTGGCCACTGCATAGAAACTTGTGATTTAAAGTTTATTTATGCAGATCCAAGGCAGCATCTCCATGTGAATTGAAGATAATTTCCAGGTAGCCAGGTGCAGATACAGATAGGTGGACAGTAAGTACGTTCGTATACCCTTAACCTCCTCGACTCAGGAGAACGAACTGTCTCAAATTATATATTCTGGATCTTCTGACAGACTCCTGCCGCCCCGGAATGGCAGATGGGTCATGCATGCATAACTAAATCTCGGCATGTCTTGTATCTATACGGAAATGTTTTACATGCTCTTGCATCTCCATGTAGTATAGGCCACTCGACTTGGTCTTATGAAGCGTTATTAAAACCATCGCCATGCCAGACCACGCCACACGCTGTCTCGCCTCAACGGCCTCCCCCTAAGTGAAATTTGGCTGGATTATGAGTCAGTGCCAAAGGACACCAAGGACTCAGCGACTTGGCGATCCCAGCCACTCGACTTTCTTTCTTTTGCTTTCTTGAGGGAAAATTGTGTCGGGTAGTGTTATAAATGCAAAATGCCCGGCGCATTTAACGCGATGAAGCATTACACGGACTTGCTCTCGGAGCAAGTGGTGGCGGAGGGACCAAAAACCACGGCACGGCACGGCATGTCATGAGCATCGAACACATTTTGCAATGGGATGGTGGCAAAAGGGTCTTTATACCCATTTAATAATACATAAAATATGAAACGATTTTATGCTGTGACAGGATTGGCAGGGGCTGCCTCCGCCTCAAAGCATGCAGCACAATATTGAACCTTGTATCCGTATCTTTTCTGGCCATACCCCATCTTTCAAAAGTACCTGTAATAGTAGCTGTAAAAAAGTATATTTTTATACCCGGTACTCGAAGAGTAAATAGGGTATATTGTATTTGTGCGAATAACGGTTTTATGTAACGCACAGAAGGAAACGTTTCCGACCCCATAAAGTATATATATTCTTGATCAGCATCAATAGCCGACTCGATAGAGCCATGTCTGTCTGCCCGTCTGTCCGTCCGTCCGTCTGTCCGTCTTGTTTGTCGGCTAGTTCTCAAAGACTATAAGAACTAGAGCCACCAAATTTTGCATCCAGACTGCTGTATGCTCACACTGAAACTAGTGTATTTCAAAAATGAGCCACGCCCCCTTCCGCCCCCGAAAAAGGGCGAAAACCTCCCAAATCTACAAGAAGATAAAAGAAAACTAAAAACGCCCTTCCGTAGGGAATGGCCATATCTGTCAGATCGCCAAATTGGGATCTGATTGGATCATTATTATAGCCAGAATGAAGAAATTAATTTGCAGTGGCTAAACCCACCCTGTCCCGCAGCTTTTGTTGTTCTTTTCACATTCTCTCATTCATACTCTGCTTCTGCTTCACTCGGCCCCTGCCTCTGCCGTCCCTCTGCCTTTGACTCTGCCGACTTTTAACCCACCCCGTCACGCAGCTTATATTTGTTTTTTTTTTTGTGCGGGAAGTGGTCTAGGGAAGACCGAGCTGCGAGCTAAAGGAGCGTGTAGGTGTGAGTAGTGTTGTTGATGTAGATGACAGTTGAAGAAAATATGAAGTAAAAATGAAGTATTTCAGAGGCAAAGGACAGGGTCTCGTCATGAGGACAGCTTTAAGTCCTTTAGGTGCCTCTGGTACTCGCATGAAGAGCTACAAGTGTAAGCTCACTTTACGGAAGAGAATAAAAACGATGTCTGAGGCGAATATTATTTGTAGGCACTTTAAAAACGAGAAGGTTCGTGTGAGACGCTTCTTTCGCGTCACAACTGTTATACCCGGTACTCAGTTCTTTTTCGAATTTTACATTTGACATTTTTAAATTTTTTCTACATCTACATAACTTCTACGACAATACGCTTTTTTAGCTCGCACCTCGCCTAGAGCCGCATACTACACGGAGCAGAGTGAGAGCAAATGTGCAAAAGTAAAAAAAACTACTGGGCGGAGTGGGTTGAGCAGCTGCAAATTAATTTCATTCTGGCTATACTAATGATCCAATCTGATCCCAATTCGGTGATCTGATAGATATAGTCATCCTTAGTTCTTATATTCTCTGAGAACTAGCCGACAAAAAGACGGAGCGACTGACGGACGGACAGACATGGCTATATCTACTCGGCTATTGATACTGATAAAAAATATATATACTTTGTGGGGTCGGAAACGCTTCCTTCTGTGTGTTACATTTTCCCGCACAAATACAATATACCCTATCTACTCTTCGAGTACCGGGTCTAAGAGCATTGAGTTACCCTACCCGCCTTAATATTTATACTAGAAGACAAATGACAGACAGACAGACAATCTACCCAGCATGTGCTCCACTTTTCAGCCGTGTGCCGGCTCATCCTCATCCTTATGCGTCACAGCGACGGGTGGCCGTGTGTCTAGCTGTTGAGCTCTGGCTCTGGGCGGTAAAGTATGGACCAATCAATTTGCGTTTAGGTTGAAGCCCCTCTGTCCCTATCGGCTGCTAGCACCGTAGCAAGGACCTCATTCCTAATCAAAAGCATAACATAACGAAAATAATCACGATAATAAAGTGTAGCCAGAGCCAAGTTTTGCTAATTGGCATTCATTCATAATAGTCGCCACAGATTTCCCTGCGAAAAGAGCTGCACGCTCTCTCTTAGCGCTCCAGCGAGTCTGCGCACTTGTGTCCGCTTGGTGCGTCAGTCCGGCAACGCTGTACGCGTGAAACCGTAAACAATGTGTGCATCCATTTACGAGCATTTTCTGTACTGTTTTGTGTGTTTCGTCTTCTGTTGTTTTCCGGTAATGGCGGCCACCGGTTGTTCGCCGCTCACTCCGAAGGCACGGCCAGAGACACAGAGGGGCGGTTCGTGAATGTGATTTGCCGACGGCGATGCTAACACTAACTGTAATACTAACGGCGAGAGTAACGGGAATGACAGCGGTAAAGGTGCCGATCCATACCCACAGTCGAATGTGTGTTTGAGTGCTTATGTTGAAAATCGGGTGACTTTCCGCCTGCTAGTGTTTTAAAAAATGTACATACAATTCATACATCCATCAGGAGTTAAAAGTAACAAGAAAAACAATTTCCATGTGCTGTTTCCAATGCAGTTACCCAAACGAAATATATAAGTACACATGTAGATAAGTTTGTATGTACAGTGCCCCTTTTGGGTGTAAGTTCGTGTCCTAGAAGTCTTGGCATGTTATGAGCCGACATTTTAGACCATTAACAACAGGGAGAATGTTGCGAGTGCAATTTGAATAGCCGAACATACACATTTCTATAGTATGTACATATGTATATATGTAGATATGTATGTCATATATCATCATTCATGCATGCATATCTATGAGGAGGATTTGGGACCAACTTCTTGGCAGTGAGCAATCTCAATCGATAAATTCAAAGGTGCCAAGTGGTACCACAGCCCCACACCCCATCTTAGGAATTCAAGGAGCACTTCCCCTATACTCTAGCAAATAGTTCCAAAATGCGCTGCTGACTTAAGTAAATTTGATGTGACCGATTGGGGGGAGCGTGTTTGCTTGTGTACTGACATTTTCTGCCATTTACTGACTTCCCAACTGGCTGGAAGGGCCGGGCCTTCTCCTTCCCTTCGGGATGTCAATGAACCCCATTTCGGATGGGTCTGTACCGCAGCATTGAATTTAGTTGTCAGCTCTGAGGGTGGCGTTTACTTTTGAAACCACAATGCTTGTATATATTTTCCATCTATGATTTATCCTAGCACGACTATTGATATTGACCTCTGCTCGTGATCGAAACCTCTACCCGAAAAGCCATGAAGTGAAAAACTGGCATAAATTAAACGTGTACAGCGCTCAGCGTATCACGGCCCCACCGAGTCGCTTCAAATTATAGATTTTTCATCTGGCTATGACGATGATGTCATCATTCAGATTCTGACTAGCAGGTTGATTCCGTTAAGGCAGTGCCCACAGAACAGACTTGTAATTAGTTCACATCCACATAATTTCCAGCCGCAAGAAGACACAATTGTCCATTTCGAGCCACAAGCCACATTTTCCAAACCCATAACTTGATATAATTCAGAAGCAGTCAGGAAATGCGTCTTTCAATCTTTCACTTATAGAAATACCATTCCTTCATACGAGTAAACGTGTAAACTCGTAAATATTAAAACGCAAGTAACTTTGTTCTTACAAATTTTGCATAACATTTTCAAATAATAAAACGACAAAAACACGGCATATGGAGGTCAGAGACCTCGTAATCACCAAATATCATAAAATGCAGCCGTTTACGAGGCCCTTATCCGGAATGAAAGGAAGCTTACGGCTTACGGGTTTTGTGTTAATGTGCTGTGATGGAGGCATGCTCTGACACTTTCCCACTGTCCAGACATCCTCATATGAATTATGATTAAGTAATCTGAATAGTGGGGGCGTCGTCGTAAAGTTGTATCCGTACACACGCGTCCGGACGGTCGTAGTGGGTGGGATGGGGGCAGGTCGTGGGAAACATGTGTCTGGCGGTATTCCCTCTCACTCTCGCTCACTTTTGTCAACACTTGTAATCCTTTTAAGGAGCTCCCGGAAGAGACGTCACCTGGAGGAAAGGACAGACCCATTGTTGCAGGCACAGAGCCTGACGCACGCCAGGAATTAATGCGCATTTGGAGCTTCGTTTACTTCGGAGCGCACAGTTTGGAGTTTTTCTGCGACTCGAGTTAGGAATTAAAACATAAGTCTGCAAGCAGCAGCCACCGCTGATTGCTTTTTCAGATTTTCATTGTAAGGGTCTTAATCCCATTAGCGGTCAGAGGACAATAACAGGATAGAAAAGGGAAAACGCACGTAACAATGCAAATTTTCAGAGCTGATTTACCGGTGTTTGCTTTTGTCTTTGGCTCGGCTTCTAATGATTGGCTCAGCTCAGATTCGGCGCCATTTTTTTGAGCCCCGTTCCTTAACGAACATATTTTGAGTGTTGGCATTAAATGGAGCTCTTCTAATGTAATATGCAGAGAACCAAACAGGAACTTCGTGACTCGACATTTTGATTGATTCTGCTGTCTATTTGGCGCCCAAGGGCTCGACATTTGATGGGACACCGCTTGCGTCGCGACTGTCCTAGTGCAAACAGCCCAGAGTCCTCTCAGATCGAGTTTCGTTTTTTATGGGGTGTTTGCCTTTGGCGCAGCACCATTTAATAAGTGCATGCCCCTTTAACCAATGGCTGCTCCGAGCACCCCAGCCACGTGACCCATTTCGGTGCGCTCGAATCTGGCGATTGTAAATTATGTATAATCGATAATTGAAAAAGAAGCCCCAAGCTGAACAGACTAAAGTTCAGTCAATTATTTTTGGCAACCAGTGTGGCGTAAAACCAGGCCGGCTGGGCTGGCGACAATGAGTCACTCGCCGGAGACTACAGAAGGACGGGCAAAGAAAAAAAAGGCTGAGCACCAACGTCTTTATCGCTTCAGTTTTAGGCTCAGTCCCGACCGCAAAGAGCCACGTGAATTGAAACCCAAAATGGAACTCCACTCTTTCACCCTTTGCCCTGGCAATCCCTTTGTCGTGTCAACTTCGTTTCCCGTGAGATCCCGTAGGGTCTTATCCAGCCCCTGCCTTCATAAAAGCCGAAATCCGCTTTATGAGTGCTCTGTAGACCGTTGGGCGTCCCTTGACACTGCCTCTCTCTTGGCACAGCCACACGCGAGTGAATCGAGAAACGAAAGGATTTGCATTCCACCATCACCATGGTTATGTTATTCCCTGATGATGACCATAAAGCGACAATCTAGAGCTAGTTCGTTGGTGCTGACTTTTAATGCGAATAAATGCTATTGACTGGAGCGAATGAAGAAAATGTCTGAGGATATTCTACCGGCAAATGGTTTATGCGCTGGAATATTGATATTAAGCAAAGAGGATAATGTGGGGCACTCCCTGGCTGCTACCGCAACTGAGGCTGGCCACAAACCACAGCAAAGTTGACAAATTTGTTGCGCACGTAACTCAATAAAGAACTTATAATTTAAATAAAAGCAACCAGAGCCTAAGCCCACGTCAATTTTAATAGGAACAGGCCAACACGACCAGGAGCACACGTATATGTACTAACATTGACGGCAAAAGAAAAAGAGAGAGGAAAAAAACACGTCGTTCGCTCACTTTTCCACTACCACTAAGGATTTGAAGGTGACGCATGGCTCAGGGATATAATGCAGGCTGGTGTTCTTTTCCAAGCAATCACATCAAAGGACAGTCTGGGTTGCTGATCTCACTCCTAGTGCTGGCGCCAATCCATGGCTTTTTCGAATTCATAAAATATTTAAATGCAAAAATGAGCATGCAAAACGGACGAATGTTTCGCTACATTAGCGATAAGGACAACCAAAGCGCCTGCATCCCGCAACCGGAGGCCATTCCCTCTCCCCTTTAGCATTTAATGAAGCAGCTAGACTTTGAAGCAATTTCGTTAGCTCAGTCGGCACCCGTGGGACAATTTTTCCCACCAACTTTATTCCATTGTTTCCGTCGCCAAAAGCGCGCTCAAATGCTCTTCGCCCCATTAAGTTAAATACCTAATGGTGTCGGATGCCCTTTTCCTACACTCGCTCCACCAGTCTGGAAATAAGGAAACATAAATCATAATTTTTATACCCGGTACTCGAAGAGTAAATAGGGTATATTGTATTTGTGCGAATAACGGTTGTATGTAACGCACAGAAGGAAACGTTTCCGACCCCATAAAGTATATATATTCTTAATCAGCATCAATCGCCGAGTCGATTAAGCCATGTCCGTCTGTCCATCCTGATCAGCGCCTAGTACTCAGAGACTATAAGAGCTGAGGCCACCAAATTTTGCATCCAGACTTCTGTATGCTCACACTGTTACAAGCGTATTTCATAAATGAGCCCGGCCCCATTACCCCCCCCCCCCCCCCCCCTAAAAGGGAGAAAACCTCCCAAAGCTACAATTTTGAAGATAAAAGAAAACTAGCGAGAAGGGACGTGTGAGACGCAAGTTACGCGTCACAACTTTTATACACGGTACTCAGTCAAAGTCCTGTCTCATATTGTTTTTTTTCTTCGAGTCTTACATTTGACATTTTTTCTACACCTGTCGTCTGCATCTACATACATAACTTCTCACGCCAACACGCTATTTTCGCTCGGCCCACTCCCCTAGAGCCGCACAATACAGATCCACGGCAGAGGCAGAGGCCGCACACTGCAGAAGCAGAGTGTGAAGATAATAATATGAAACCAGAAGGGAAGTGTGAGACGCTTCTTACGCATCACAACTTTTATACCCGGTACCATCTGTTCCTTAGCGGGACGGGGTGGGTGAAAATTTCTTCATTCTGGCTATAAGAATGATCCAATCATATCCCAATTTAGTGATCTGATAGATATGGTCCTTCCCCACGGATTGGCGTTTAGTTTTCTATTATCTCTAAAATTGTAGCTTTGGGAGGTTTAACCGTTTAGCGGGGTCGGAAGGGGGCGTAGCTCATGTTTGAAACACACTTGTAACAGTGTGAGCATACAGAATACTGGATGCAAAATTTGGTGGTTCTAGCTTTTATAGTCTCTGAGATCCAGGCGCTTAACAACGGACGGGTGGACAGACAGACATGGCTCTATCGACTAGGCTATTGATGCTGATCAAGAATATATATATACTTTATGGGGTCAGGCCTGTTCGGAAACGTTTCCTTCTTTACTCTTCGAGTACCGGGTATAACAATATGGTACAGGTACACTAACTGAGTACCGGGTATAAAAGTTGTGACGCGTAAGATGCGTCTCATACGATCCTTCTCGTTATTTTTGTATTCTGTGAAATGGACGGGGAGTTTCCATTCAACTTCTTACGCTGAACAATTCAAGGACCATTCCAAACATAATATTACGCAAAGTAAATTGATACTTGCAAACGGATGACTATAGATAGCCACACATTCACTTAAATCACTGCGATTTATCCAGCATGACGAACATCTCAATATATCTGAAGAGATCATTCCTTTCCTGTATTCTGGTAGGACCGTTTCAATGATGGAAACCATAGGCTAATTCATACATACATATATATGTTTATGTACATACATATGTATGTACATGCGTATACTTTTTTGAAGGCCTGCATACTTGTGGTTGGTGGTGAACGGCGTAAAATAATACGTTTCCAATGACGACGGGGAAACGGCACCCCTTCATAGAAGAGACACGATAAGAACTGTCAGAGGCTGAACGCAGAGACGTCTCGAAGAAGGAGTGGGACAAACAGAAGCCACCCAAAGACGAAAAACTTGCTTCAATCAATCACAGAAAAACACTGATTCTAGTTAAGCGCAGCGTAGCATCCTTTGAGGTTGTTTATGCACCATTGGTAAAAAACACTCTATAATACAAACGAGTAGTCACAACTTTTATACCTGGTACTCAGCCAGTGTATACATATGTATGTACATACATACGTACATATCTTATTTACATCATTTTCTCTTATCTTTAAATTGTGGCTGTGGGACATTTTCGCTGTTTGTTTGGGTGGGGCGAAATTTTGAGATTCACTTGAAACAGTCTGATATTACAGAAGTCTGGATGCAAAACTTGGTTGCTCTATCTCTTATTGTTTTTGAGTACCACGCGCTAATCAGGACGGACAGACAGACATAGCTATATCGACTCGGCTATTGATACTGATCAAGAATATATATATTTTATAGGGTCGGAAACGTTCTTCAGTGTGTTACATTTTTCGACCACAAATAGAGTATAGCCTATTTACTCTTCGAGTTCTGCGTATTACTAAATATATTATTTCGAAACTATTCAAACTTCGGATTAAACTAAATGTCGAGGCGACTTGCATATTTCAATTTCCACCACTTTTTGTAAAATAATCAGAAGAATACAATCAAGCTTTTTAAACACATACTGTGGGAAGGGAAAAATGTTCACGAACTATCAGCGGCAGACATCACTACGTGGCCGAAAATAAAACAGTTCTCTAATCAATAAAACTATGGAGATCTATCAAGTGATCCGACAATATAGGTTGCAGTGGATCTATGTTATTTGGATCTTGATTTGGCAATGTAATACTTTGAAGACGTGCATGTATGTAAGTTTAATTGAGTATCTACTATTCCGATTCACGGCAGCGACAAAAATTTCAATACAAAATAGGGTTTATAAATTTTTGTCATCTTCAAAATGTACATCTAAAAACTAATACCTGATAAATCAGCTGATACCATTTGCTACCGTTACACAAAAACCAGTCGTTAAATCCATTTGTTTATAAATATGTACAATCATTCTTCGCTCTTTTTCCACCAGCGAAGTACAATTCGTCCACTGGTCGTCGAAGAGGTTTCGGGAGATCGAACAGTTGCAGGCATTCAGCCACAGAGAATCGTCGTTTTGGGACATTTTATTTAATTTTATAATTTAACACATGTAGGTCTTAAACGAAATTGTGTGCCGATATTGTGAGTTTGTTACTGTGTGTGTGTGTGTGTGTGTGTATGTGCGCATTTTGCCGAGAAGGGCCAGAAGCTGGGGCCCACCAGGGAAGAGCTTCATACGCCTTACTAACAAATCAAGTCCGATGCGATCATACTCCTGCTTAGCCGGACATTAGGCCAGCTGAATGACTTTCATGCGCACATTCCGCTTTACCAGCATCTTGAGGCGATTCGAATTTGTAATATTGGCCAAGCAGTCGATGGACATCGACGGTATCGACGTAGAAACGTCAACAGTTTCCGATGGTGGTGAGGTGTGTACAATGTTACCCCGAAAGCACACCACATGCACAGTAACTCCAGATGTGATGCCAACGGTGTCCATAGTGCCAGCATCGCGTAGCACCTGACCACCAAAGACCAGCAAAATGTTTTTAATAGCCTGCTCGAAACGCACCGCCACCAGGTCCCGCAGGTTCAGAACTAACTCCCTCTCCCGCACCGAGATAATGGGTTGGAAGTCGCTTCCCTTCGCCAATATGTTAATAGAGTCGACGCAGTTCATGGCGAGCTCTTACCAATGGCGTCCACTAATATGTATGTTATGTAGATATATGGATCGGTTGTGTTGTATTCAGCTGAGCGGCACTTTCCGACTGAATTTTTGTTTGTTTACCGATATCTGGTTGGAGAAGTTTGATCCTTGCTCAGCCAGCTCTAATGGCATCAAGCCTAGTAATCTGGACTATAAGTCATCGTCCACTTGTACTTGATCTTTTTAAAATGGGAGTGCTAGAGATGAGCACGTAATGCTAGCTAATTAATCGGCATGTCTATCGGCTTCACCAGCACTAAAATGCCTATAGAGGCACAATCAAAACTTTATTCATTTCTTGGATGGCGCCGTAGATCCACAACAAAAATGGAGCTACACATGCCGGACTATTTATTCCATTTCCACTCATCCCCACTCTGTCTAACGTTTCAGTCGGATCGAGCTTGCAGCAGTGTCCACAAGTGCGAGTGCAGATAGCAGAGTCCACAAACAGAACACACCCATACTCCGCTGATAGTGCACACCCCTCCGCATCCACACCTGCAGCCAGAGGCCGCTAGCACGGACAAGGAACACCGCAGGGACGGGCCACAACCGAATCAATTGGAATTCAACAGCCAGAGGCGGATTCTCTGGTTGGGGAGACTGAGACCCATTGATGTAGCAGCGATGGGGGCCAATACATCGAGCAGAGCAGACGCGAGTCTGCTCGCCGACGATGACGGTGAGTGGGGATGGGGATGGGGGCACATACAATAAATTAGCTTAGAGGGCGACTGAAACCAAATCTCACAACCTAGTAGCCCGGCCTTGATTGGACAACGTTTTGAAATCGAAAGCGCTCACGGACCTAACCGAGTGGCCGAGGACGGGGGGCATGGAGCTGTGGCGAATTGACGAACTGTGCCTGGTGAAAATATTGAAATGCCTTGCTCTGCCTGACCAGCTGGCCATGCTCCAGAGCTGCGAGCGGTGTCGAGCACTCCTGGGGCGCATCTGGCGCATGCAGCTGACCAAGATAGAGCTCAACCTGCTGGAGGTGCCGCTGCAAAAGGACGACTTCGACTTCCTTCTGAACAATGGCCGTGCGCAGCTGAACCAGCTGAGGCTCTACTACCTGGCCAGGGAGCATTTCGAGGTGCTTGTCGAGCACAGCTTTCCCAAGCTGCTGCTTTTGGAGGTCGATGTTCTGCCTCCGTTCTTCCTGTGCCCACGACTACTACATCAGCTGAGGCAGACCATGCCGAGGTACCCTAACGAACGGTAGGATCTAATGATGGGACGCCATGAGACTGCCAGCTCCATTAAATGCCAGACTCTTAGTTAGAATTTCGGGGGTGCGAACTGTTCAATATCAATAAAGTGTTTTCAATCTACTCATTAAATATCTCTTTCATTTCCAGTTAATTTTGACCACTTCCAAATACTTCGTGCCATCGGCAAGGGAAGTTTTGGCAAGGTAAGAGCAGCTGCCCAACTTGGGTGCGCACAGGTGTTATCCTCTGCCGCTTTACGAGACGAACAATCCAACATTCGCAGGTCTGCATAGTGCAGAAGCGTGACAGTGGCATTCTTTATGCCATGAAGTATGTGAGTCGCAACGCCTGCGAAATGCGTGGAGCGCTTGGCGGTGTCATCAAGGAGGTTGAGCTGCTATCCTCATTGGAGCATCCGTTTCTAGTCAATTTATGGTTCTCGTTTCAGGGTAAGTGCGCACAGAGCGCAGACAGAGCCAGCAAACGCCGTCGTAAGTACGCGAATGCAAATGAGCTCTGTTCTTGGAGCCACTCCATTTGCCGTTGCTGTTGCTGTGGCTGATTGCCAATCAAAATGCAAACGAGAAGGGACGTGTGAGACGCTTCTTGCGCGTCACAACTTTTTTACCCGGCACACTTAGTACAACATCTGCACCTTAGCGGTTATTTGTCAAATTTTACATTTTTTCTTCATCTGTCATCTACATCAACAACACTACTCACGCCAACACGCTCCTTAAGCTCGCCGCCCTTCCCTAGACCCACACACTGCAAACTCGCGGCAGAGGCAGCGCCCGCACACAAAAAAAAACATATATAAGCTGCGGGACGGGGTGGGTTAAAAGTCGGAAGAGGAATCGGCAGGGGGAGGGCAGAGGCAGAGGCCGAGTGAAGCAGAAGCAGAGTGTGAATGAGAGAATGTAAAAAGAACAACAAAAGCTGCGGACAGGGTGGGTTTAGCCACTGGAAATTAATTTCTCCATTGTGGCTATAATAATGATCCGATCGGATCCCAATTTGGTGATCTGATAGATATGGCCTTTTCCTACAGAATGGCGTTTTTAGTTTTCTTTTATCTTCAAAATTGTTTGGGAGGTTTTCGCCCTTTTGCATTGCTCATTTTTGAAATACACTAGTTTTAGTGTGAGCATACAGCAGTCCGGAGCCAAAATTTGGTGGCTCTAGCTTTTATGGTCTCTGAGAACTAGCCGACAAACAAGACGGACGGACGGACGGACAGACGGACAGACAGACATGGCTCTATCGACTCGGCTATTGATGCTGATCAAGAATATATATACTTTATGGGGTCGGAAACGCTTCCTTCTGTGCGTTACATACAACCGTTATTCCCCACAAATACAATATACCCTATTTACTCTTCGAGTACCGGGTATAAAAAAACTCTGCGCATTTCCTTTGATGCCCGAGACTCTGACATTTAAACTCATATATCTTTCATCCTTCTGGCACACACCAAAATACACCAACATCCCCATTCTCAGACGAGGAGGACTTATTCATGGTATGTGACCTGTTGACTGGTGGCGATTTGAGATATCACTTACAGAACCGGGTAAGTCCGCACACGACAACTCTCAGCTTTCAGTTTCAGAATCTACCCATATATTCTCCCATTGCCAATGCCTCTCCCTCTCCCTCTCCCACACCCACTCCTACTCCTGTCTGTTCTTCTTTCAGGTTGAATTTTCCGAGCAGAGTGTGGCCTTATTAGTTTGCGAACTTGGTAGTGCGCTGGAGTACCTGCAGACACAACGGGTGGTCCATAGAGACATCAAGCCAGATAATATTCTATTGGATGATGGCGGTGAGTATGCGGATAACAGGTTGAACGTGGGTCGTGAAAGTTTTGCGCTTTCATTTTCTGAGACAACAGCCAGGCAATCCGCGTCCATAATTCAAAATAATGTAATTGAGTTCGTGATAAAATATGTATTAATTTTATACGGAAAGCTCTGAGCCAGAAACCAGCCACTGTACGGCCACAGAAGCTCCTCCGGAGACGGTAAAAATTATTCATTCACTAACTGAGCAGGGCTATCAGACATCACGCCGTCAGGCGGACTGGAAGTATATTTAATGATATTTAGGCGATCTAACGAGATGTTCATGGCAAGATTATGCTTATGCTAGATATTGGATTTGACACTTACTCATTCAAATAACACAGAATCAGCGAAGGGAAATTGTTTTCTTCATTTTATCTAGATAAGGAATAATGGATGGTTGCCTTAGAATATCTAATAGATCCAGTTGCAAGTGCACCAATCTTGTTCGAATTAAGATTCTCGAATGAATTTCATTCACTTTTCAATTTTCATTCACAAAATTGGTATTGCAAAGACAGTGTGTAGCCACGGGTGGTAAGGGAAAAGTAAGAAATAGGACGAGTACGTATACACTATGCATGAATTCATGGAACAGAAAATCCAACGCAATTAGATTACCACACACTGCTGTGCCCACTTAAAGGAGCCACTTGCATGCATAAGGAAAGTCCCGCACCCACTGACGAGATATTAATTCCAGGACACGCTCATTTGACTGATTTTAATATTGCGACAAGGCTGCAGAAAGATGCGATGGCCTGCAGCATGTCGGGGACGAAGCCGTACATGGCGCCAGAGGTGTTTTTGTGCGCCCTGGACGAAGTGGGTGAGTGAAGTGAATTAATTCAGGAAGAGCCCTGAGCAGCAGCTCGAGATGAAATGGAGGTGGCGATAATTGACTGCTTCCTGATTGTTTCAATTGAATTACAGCTGGCTATAGCTACCCAGTGGACTGGTGGTCCCTGGGCGTTGTGGCCTACGAGATGCGAAGAAACGTCCGCCCTTTTGTGGTGCACTCGAACACGCCCCTGGCGGATATCAAGAACATCCTGAACACACCAGTGCACTATCCCCGCTATTGGAGCAGCAACTTCATTGATCTGCTGCAAAAGGTATGTTGCCTGCGTGCGCCATTCCGGTGATTGTCGTATCAGACCCACCTTAACTTTCTTGCAGCTGCTCTCCACGTATCCCGGCGGCAGGGTCAGCACCCAGCAGGAGCTGCATCAGACCCCGTTGCTGAGGAACATTGATTTTCAGCAGGTGCTCGAGAAGAAAATAAAGCCCATCTTCAAGCCGCCCGAAGACCACCTGAACTGCGACCCCTGCCTGGAACTGGAGGAGATGATTGTGGAGACGCGGCCGTTGCACAAAAAAAAGAAGCGTCTAGCAAAACAGCGGTCAGCGCAACGAGACAGCGATCCCGAGACCGTGCTCGTCAAAGAGTTCATCGTATACAATCGCTACAAAGAGCTCAAGCGAAGGAACATGGAACAGAAAGAGAACGACTGGCAGCGTGAGCTCGAGTTGGCCATGGCCAACTCTATAGTCAACAGCTTGGCCCCCATACAAGAGAGGCCCGCTTCGTCCACTTCCACGTCTATTAGCCATGCAGCAAATCCCACGATCCCCACTCCCACCACGGCGCACGCGCCAGCTGTCACGAATTCACCATCTAGAAGCTCAAGGTGCTCCGCCTGCAAAGAGAGTGACAGCATTGAATTCATAGATCGCACGCCGTCCCCGCAGGGCACATCCGGCGGAGCCATTGCTGCCACCCCGACACAGCTCTGCACCACTTTGGCAACGAGCACGGCACAAAAGTAGTGTCAAACTATGACTGTCTCCCGAACCCTCCCTCCGCAAAAAACTAATGATAAATATGTACACATGTATAATCATATGACAACGTAACAGGTTTCACTGCGAACACACCCAAACACATAGCCTGCACCGAACCGAACGATGATTGGGCGACCAGCACCTATTTTTCGAGTTCCGCTGAACGTGTAGATATAATACATAAAACTAAAAATAATTTATAATTGGATGTCTTTAAGGGTATTTATATAATTTATCTAAGTCTTAAGTCTAAGTCCCTTTGTACATATGTGCGTATGTGTGGTTAGATGTTAGCTGAAATCAAAATAAATGTAAAGAGGCGCTGCACCGAGCGGGGTTGGTTTACCTCTTTTCGGATGTTCGCAAGAGCTCAATCAAACTGGCTGCGTTATTTCGATTTTTTTTGTAGTTTTTATTTCAAGTTATATTTTATTCATGTTTCACATATTTTTTGTAATGCCTTTCTTTGTATAAAAAAGAGTAAATAATTATGTTCTGTATGTATAATTGTTGTATTCACGCACTTGTTGATCTCTCTTTATTTATTTTAGTTTTGGGTTGGTGTAATTATTGGATTGGTGTTTTTGTCGAAAGGGGCAAAACACTAACCAAATTACGATAATAAACTAATCCCCTTCTGTATATTATTTATCAGAAAAATGCAACATGTTAATAATTTTTAATTTCTCTGGTTCTATACGCGGTCTCTCGATTTCATTTGTGGGCTTTCACGGTTAGGTTAAATTTACATGTGACGAATATCATTTTAACATCTTCCCACCATCACTCCAATCTCACACACCCCGTCGTCAGCAGCTCAACTGCAGTGTGTGCAGGGGTGTGGTGCGGTCGGAAGATGGACGCTGGTTCTCGTTGCGAGTGTGAGAATGTAGATAAATAATCAAGAAAGTCCCGAGAAAGGGAGCATTAACTTCGAGAAGCGTTAAGAGCAAGTGTGTGAATTATTCTTTCTGTGTAGAAATCGTGTTCCACTCTGCATTTGTGGAAGGAGTATTTCAAAGATTCAATTAAGTTGAATAGCTTACAAGGTTTAACGAATTTTCCTTTTGTTTTTCTTAAGCAAAAACAAATGCAATTGTTTAGAAAAGCGTCAGTTATTTGTGTTGTGTTCTGTTCTCTTTAAAAAATCTGTTTTTTCTCTTCTCTTTTGCATTTTGTTGTTTTTGCTGTTCTTAGAAGAATGGAGAAGAAACTACAAGCTGAAAAATTATGTTCGGAGTATGAGTGTGTTTTGAAGATGTGTGTGTGTGTGTGTGTGTGTGTGTTTGTGTGTGTATATGCATGAAGGGGTTCTGGAGTTCGGTATATGTTCATTTTTTGTTTGTTAATTTTCGGCTCTTTCTAAACAAAAGGTTACTTTTTTTCGTTGAACTCCATGCGTGGCGCTGCCGGCGGACATCCGCCGCAGCCGTTTGCTGGCTGCGCTAAGCGCTTGGTCATACTATACTGTGGTTGTGTCCACAGACTCGATACGTGAAGCGCTCACGTCTCCGGCCTCTACAGTAGCAGGCTCTGCCCCGTTCAGCGCACTTTCATCGACATCGTTGCCCTCCTCGACAGCGCCTGCATTGGCAGCGCCACCACTCTTCTTAGTGCCAAACTTGATCAGCTCGACATGTACGTTTATGGTTTTCGTCTGCGCTGGCTCTGCAGACTCGGCTGGCTCCGACTTCACTACATCACCCTCAGCAACAGCTGTGACTGCCGGAGCCGGCTCGCCACCGGTGGTGATGGTCAGCGAGAGATCGTTCAGTGACTTCAACACCTTGTCGACATCGTCCTGGGTGCTGGGAGTACCATTACGGTTGCCAAAGTAGAGGAAGCACTTTCCAAAGTGGCCTGTCAGGAAAAGCATTAGAGTTAGTTAAGAGACACTGTTCTCCTCCAAAGCTTTTTGAACTACACACCCTTCCATGCGATTGACATCGGATTGCATTCGCGCTTGCGAAGCTCACTCTTCAGATCCTTGACGCGAATATCACGGGTCAAGTTAGTCAACTTAACGCAAAAGTCACGTGGCCCACGGTTTTTCTTCTTTGTCTGACGACGCTCACCAGCGCCACCCTCATCGAACTTACGATCCTCACTCTTGGCACCTCCCTCAACTGCAGACTGATCGCCCTCAGACTGCAAATAAATTAAAGTGTAAGTAGGTAATCCACAAGGTACGAACTATCATCAAATTAACCTTGGTTGTGCGTCTGCGGCGGTTGACGAAACGACCCTTACGGCGTGGAGCGCGTTTCTGGGTATTTTCCTGCATCGGTTAAACACACACATCAGTAAAAAGAATATACATATACCCTTTATACAGATTTATCAAATGTTTTACTTACGCCCTGTTGTTCGTTGTCAGTTTGTGAGGTGGTGCGTCCTGGGTTTCCTCGTTGGAAGCGACGACGCAACGGCCCACGACGGCGCCTGTTGTTTTGATGCTGCTCAACATCAGTGTCCTCAGATTTCAATACAATTGTCTTGCCTGATTTCTCTTCTTGCTCCTTAAGCTGCTGCAGCACGGGCAAAATCTTAAGGCGACGTTCAGACAAAATCTCCCAGAAAACACCATTGGGACGGGGCAAGCGCTTTGCAACGCGTATGACTTCGGTGGGCGTTACGATAATGTCCACTGGTGTGTCGTACTTCTGAAACAGATCCAAGGGAAGAGTGTCCACCACCTGCAGATCGTGCACAATTGTGGCTATCACTGTGTCCGGTGTTATGGCACCCAACTCAATGAGTAGACCGATGTCCAGGTCCGCAAACCCATTGCCACGACCAATTCTATAGCCCTCGCGTGAAACTACGACGGAGCCAATCACCACAAGATCTAGTTTGAGTTTGCTCTCTAGTCCTATTTCCGTGCGGAACTTGAGAATATCCTGAACGCGCAGAGCCTCTTTCTTCTGCTCCTCGGTGGCGTCGGCTGGTACATCAACCTTAAGACACAGCGCCGACGAGTCGCGTGTGCTGGGCAAATAGACAGACTTGTCAGCAAGCAAAGCCTGTTCTTTAAAGTCGTGAAGAGCGCGATCGATGTTCACCTTGATGTGCTCTGCGAAATGAACAACATAAAAAGGTGTTCTATATATGAACATGGGTGTTTAGTTAGTCCACTTACCGGCCTTCTTGAACTCCTCTTCCTGAATGAGCAAAGCAGCTGCCTTATCGGCATCCACAAACGCAGGAATCCGATTGAATATGTTGTTAAATCCAATGCCAACCTTGCCCTCCTGAATTTTTTTCCAGGTCTGCACACGAAGCGAGCGCTTTGTGGGCTCCACGGGCTGAGCTGAGGAGAAAAAAATATGTGCAACATATTAGTTTCGTGATGCATGTTCAATTAATCGTTAATGCCTTAGTAAAACAAAAAACACAAAAAGCAGAGAGCTCTGGCTGCCGCCTCTTCTTATCGCTGCTAAGCTCATAGCATAGGCATGTTATCACGTCAGTTTTCTGCGGGAATGAGCAAATATATTACTCAGCTGATATTGGAGCCGATAAACCGGTTTCCACGCCCAACAATCAGCAATTTAGCCTAAACAAACTTTCAAATGCCGGCGGGGGAACTGTGTTTTAACGAAAAAACTGTATGGAAACATTCTCGAGGGTTGCCACATGTCCGAATTTTGGTTGTCCCATGAACGCACATACACATGCATACGTGCATGCATGTGCAGAATTAGTGATTACAAACAAATTCTGGTGCTCAGGAATATACTAGAATGCATGTTTATAAATGTGTGCAGAAAAGAATTGGCATTTAAATATCGATGTTGACGCATGGCCAATAAAATTGGCAACGCTTTATCACACATACAGGCACACACACACGCACTAAACATTTCTCGGCGATGAGCGCATCAAAACGAATTTCTCAATTAATATACATATGTATATGCGTGAGAGTAGTTATGTGTGCTTGTGTGCGATTGTGGGAAGGGGGAAACCGACAGCCGACAAGAATGACATTAGCACGGGGTGAACACTACCCAGAACACAGATCGGACAAGGGAACAGTGAAAATGTTTGCCGAAAATGATTCTCTGTGTACTATTTGCGGGCACCACTCAGTAATTGTAAGCAGCCGCGCCGCTGCAGTTTTAACATAAGAATGCGCGCCACGATGACGTAATTAGTATCAACAACAAAAACTAAAACCAACGACCGTCATGAAAAAGCGGGCATGTTTTGTCATCTCCCTACTCTCATCCTTCTTCATCCGTGATTCCCTTTGATTTAAAGTTTCGTTTCATGAATTTGACAACTCATTTACCGCGAGAGCCCCATAGAAAGAAATATGGCGGAATTTTTGACAATTTTTTTGTGCACTCTATGTAAAATGGCCGATTGTGCAAGGGGGGAGTGAGAAAAGAGAAAAATATTCGTTTAGAGCAGTCCGCTCCACTACAATTATGGAATCGATCTCTTTTAAAGACAGAGCAAAGCACTAACTAATCACATACGAACACGGCGCTAAATTTTTATGATAACATTCTCACACTCGCGTAAAATATATGCAAGTTTTCTGTTCTACTTTGTCACCCTGACGGAGAATACTTACTTGTCGACGATACCTCCTGGGCTGTGTTAGCGCCATTTTCCGCGGCGGCTGCAGCGGTATCTGCGTTGCTTGGATTTTCCATAGTAATTCGTTAATAAATTGTGTACTTAAACTGTTTTTTCTTAGTTTTTTTTCTCAACAATTTTTTTTTCACTTAACACAAGTTACACGGCAACGTCGTCTTTCTCCGGCTGCTTCCAACAAACCACGTTTCCAGCGGAACTATCGATCAAATATACCGTCAGTTCGTCGTAAATATACCAAAAATACCATTGAATCTTCAAAATATACCGTACATATACCGTAGTCTTAAATCAGATTACTCGATTTAGATGTTCTATTTGATATTACTAACTTGCAACGACTTTCACCACTAAAACAAAAATTTAATCCGATTGAAGAATTAATTTTGCTTATTATAAATACTCCTTTTTATTGGATTTTATACCTCATGACCTTATATTTTAAAAATTTTTATTTGCATTTTTCGTTTAAATCGCCTTTCTGGAAGCAGGGAGCTTTCTCTACAGTATGTAAATGTATGTTAACCATTAAAGGAGACATGTATATTAACTAATAACATAGAATAATTTGAAAAATCGATAGGCTATCGATAAAATATACCGACTGACCCTCGGAAATATACCGAAATATATCTTTTGCGTTTTCCAAATATACTGTACTTAATATTAAATAATTTTCCTTGATTTTTATGTATATTTCATATCGCAAACTAGTTAGGAATTCCTGCGGTTTACTACTATTTTATCCCTTTAATTAAACAATAAATTCTACACAATATTAACTAGTTTTCACGCCTTCAATTTGTTGGAATGATTACAACGTAAGCTTTAAAGCCTAGTACTCAGATCCGAAAACACGTTTGCTAGAAAACTGCAGTTTATTTTGCTAGCAGCAGAGTGTGACCAAAGGTGAAAACCGAATTCCGTACTTCTTCTCAGGAAAGCTTAGCACTCAAGCGTAGTACTCGGATCGGAAAAAGGGGCCGCTAGAAAAATCAGGGATGATATTCGTATGGAACCGATAAGCAATGCACAAGTTACTTTCTAGCGGCTACACGCGAGGCAGTTCTTAGATCGAAAACAAATGCCGATTATATCTAGAAAGTTCTAGCAGCTCGACAAATATACATATGTCAAATTAAATTAAAATTCGTTCGGCAAACAACTCTTTTTTGAGTTCAAAATTTTCAGTGACTTTTTTCAAATATTCAACATAAACTTAAGTACATGGTCAATGCGGACTCATCGTCTGCGACCAACTAATTTTGTTTTAGCGATTAAATAAAAAAAAATACATATGTAGATCTGTTTCATATTCCGAGAGGGTACCTAGCAAACAGAGAGTAAAGTCTCAATAAAATGATGGCAACAATGCCGCTGAAGTTGAAAGATAAATGACCACCGTGCTTCTCAAGCAGCTTGAGGCCATCAAACGGCAAAAAATGAAACAATTTTTATAGATTAATGAGATTATATTGAATTTATTTGCATTTTTAATTTGTTTAACTTATTTGAACGCCAGTAGTTTCATCGTGCCAAGACACAGACCCGACTGGGCTGTTAACCAAATGTTTTCCATTTGGGACCAAGTACAGACATATGCCAGACATATGCCAATTCTTAAAGAATACTGATTGCCTTTGAGTCATATTTTCAAACTGCTGAATGTGCAAAGGGTATGGTTAGATGGGTTCCATACCTATAATACTCACATGTATGGACACGCGGCTCTCCTGGTTTCTTTCCTGCAGATATGGGTTTAACCAATAATGTCTGCACTTATTTCGTTGATTGTTCTCCCTTCCGCTAATGCAAGAGCCACCAATCCCACTAAAAGTAATCTCCTGCATGGATCAATTTTTTGTTCATTGTTTTATTAACCTTTAATTCACTTTTCACACATTTTCAAAAAGTAAACAAAGCCAAACGGCTTCCTGAGAAGTGTAACCGGCATGCGGTTATCACCTCTGGTCACACTCTGCCGCTAGCAAAATATATTGTACAGTTTGCTAGCAACGTACTTTCGGATCTGAGTACTGGGCTATAACATTGACAATTAGTTTTTATACCCGGTACTCGAAGAGAAACGAGAAGGGACGTGTGAGACGCTTCTTACGCGTCACAACTTTTATACTCGGCACTCAGTACTACATCTGCACCTTAGCGGTTATTTGTCAAATTTTAAATTTTTTCTTCATCTGTCATCTACATCAACAACACTACTCACACCAACACGCTCCTTTAGCTCGCCGCCCTTCCCTAGACCATAACACTGCAGACCCGTGGCAGAGGCAGCGCCCGCACACAAAAAAAAAACATATATAAGCTTCGGGACGGGGTGGGTTAAAAGTCGGAAGAGGAATCGGCAGGGGGAGGGCAGAGCCAGGGGTCGAGTGAAGCAGAAGCAGAGTGTGAATGAGAGAATGTAAAAAGAGCAACAAAAGCTGCGGAACAGGGTGGGTTTAGCCACTGGAAATTAATTTCTGCATTGTGGCTATAATAATGATCCGCTCGGATCCCATTGGTCGGATCGGATTTGGTGATCTGATAGATATGCCAATTCCCTACAGAAAGGAAACGTTTCCGACCCCATAAAGTGTATATATTCTTGATCAGCATCAATAATTGAGTCGATGTAGCCATGTCTGTCTGTCCGTCCGTCTGTCCGACCGTCCGTCTGTCCGTCCGTCCGTCTTGTTGAGCGCCTGGATCTCAGAGACCATAAAAGCTAGGGCCACCAAATTTTGCATCCAGACTTCTGTATGCTCACACTGCTACAAGCGTATTTAAAAAATAAGCCACGTTTGTTTTTTCACATTCTCTCATTTACACTCTGCTTCTGCTGTGTGCGGCCACTGCGTCTGCCGCGAGTCTAAAGTGTGTGGATCTAGGGAAGCCCCGCAAGCTAAAGGAGCGTGTTGGTGTGAGAATTGATGACAGCTAAAGAAAAAACTTAAAATTTGACAAAACACCGCTTAGGTGCAGATGTAGTACTGAGTGCCGGGTATACAAATCGTGACGCGTAAGAAGCGTCTCACACGTCCCTTCTCGTTATTTATGCACTGGTACTGCTACTCGTAACACTAGCCAGCACACTTTTTCCGCTTCGAGATCTAAGCACCGAGCTGCAAGGTCTCATTTTAACTCAGCCTGCTCTCCGTAGATTTTATTCAGCAATATCTTAATCTACGCTGAATTATTTCACCTATACACAAAACATTAAAAAGACACAGGACCAAATTTTTCGACTTTTACTCAGTTTTTAAACTCAAAATTTCCGTTAAGGAAACCTCACAGAAATCATAATTTTTGCCTTTGCAATCTTTTTCCAGACGATAAACTTAAACAAAAAATTGTTTAGCTGCATCAATTAGCTTTTTAGAATGGCCATGTTCTTTACAACCAGAGCTAAGGTACATAAGTTTATGAAAAAAGGAACTTCTAATAGAATAACAAAAAATACCAGTTAATTGGAAAATATTAAAAATAAATGTCAACCATTGAAAAAAACCATACTTCATTAAAAAATATTCATGCCCCAAATCTATTAAAAAAATTCGGTTTGGTTTCTTGAGAAAAAAAGTTAAGTCGAGTAGGGTAATCGATTGAAATGCGTGTATTCAATTCGACGCAGAAATTAATTTTCGGTAGCACCTAGGGACGTGACAAAGGTTGCTGGATTCGCTTTCTTCTATTTTAAAACTATTATTTGTGACCTCTAAATCTATTAAAGTGCTGTATTAAACAAGACAATTGTCGGACATTTGAAATGTAATCCTAATACTGTTTATTTAAGGGGCTAGGTTTAAAAACTGAATTATTTACAACCATTATTTTTATAACGTAATCTGTTTCAATAATTTAGAGCTCAAAGGAGATATGTAATTGCACACGGTATTGTCCCTTCTATGTAGCTAAAAACAAAAAAAATACTCGTCAACGTATGGCTTGCGACATGTGCAATGGGGTCACCATTAGCGTCAATTCGGCATCCTTTAGGTTCGCCCCTCTCAGGTTCGCGTCCTGGAGATCGCTGCCGGACAGATTGCACCGTTCCAAGTCTGCTCCGGCTAGAACGGCGGCACGTAGATTGCAGTTCTTCATGTTGGCATTCTTTAGGTTGGCCACTCGCAAATTGACACCCGCCATGTTACTGCTCTCCAAACAGGCGCTTTTCAGATTAACGCCCTCCAGATTGGTACGCACGCCTGTAGGATCCTCGAAGTTGCACCCGCGTAGGTTGGCACCTTCCTGAATCGAGAGTGATGTTTCTTAAGCCAGAAATCCCTTATAGCATTTACTGGTGTCTTACCATGTTGGCGCAAAGCCCTCGCACCGAAACCAATTGCGCGCATTCCAGGTTCGCATACTGTAGATCCGCTCGCTCCAGACAACAATAGTTGAGATTGGTGTGTGAAAGGTTGCAGTGCGACATGTTCGCGTACTGTTGGATGATATAGCGTAAGAAGAATTTAGAAGGATCTCCTTGGCAGAACTCACCTTAAAGTTAATGTTCCTGAAATCCAGCTTTCGTAAATCAGCTCCAGACAGATTGACTCCCTGAAAACGCAGCTCCGTTATGACGGAGGTTTGTATGATGGCCTTTATAACATCCATTCTAGTCAGAGGTCTGTCGCTTTGCGGCTCCTCCTGCTGACTTAGACGCTCCTCCAAATGCGCTATTAGCGAGTAAATGCCAAAGAACCGAGCTTCCTCTAGAACTCCAATCACGCTAATGTTGGCGTCACACACAAACTCGCCATGCCGCAAATAATTTATTATAGGCTCAAAGTAGCGCGGACTTCGGTCTATCAAATAGGCACCCTGCTCATCCTTTTCGCTGGGCTTCATGCTGGGATCCTGCAGAAACATTCGCGCTAGCATAGAGTCCGGTTCCCTGGAGCATAGAGTGTCAATAGTGGTAGTGTATACCTGACCGCCCACATTCAGTTTGACCCAACGATTGGGGGCAAAACCACCACTGCTGGCCGCAAGGGTCCCACTGGCGGTCTCGTCTTCTCCAGTATCGCTTTTCTTCGGCTCACTGTCCATTTATTTTCGAAAATTAGAAAATTGCTTTTGGTTTTTGTGCTTAGTTTAGTTGATTCCTCTGTTGCCTTGCTTCTTCTTCCATAGACTAGTCTTGACATTCACAGCGAGCATGTAAGGGTTGTGTCGTCGGGCAAATCGGTTTCGATAGTCTATTCATCGGGATGTACGTACATATAAATATAAAATAATATAATTATAAATTTAGACTTGAAAATCATCAAGAAATTGCCTAAAAGTCCAGTGCCGCATACGCTAAACACAATGACCACCGCCGAGATTGCCAGCAGCAGCAGCTCGACTTCCAACTCCACGGGCCAGCGTGGTGTTGGTCGTGTACTTGCCAAGTTGTCCCATTCTTTGGCCGGGGGGGAGTTCTACGAAGCCCACATGATGTACAGGACGTTATATTTTCGTTACACGGCTCAGAAACGCTACCAGGACTGCCTGGACTTGCTTTTTGACGGAGCGCAGAAGCTGATAGCCAAGGAGCAGGAGGGCAGCGCTGCGGACCTCTGTCTCTTATTGGTAGATACACTCGAGAAGATGGGGCCACAGCCTGAGGATACCGACAACTTCCTGTGGGTGCCTCGCTTGGGCGCCCTCATCCGAGGCCTTACCTCGGGCACAGTTGAGCGTGAGACACTGATTGTAAGTAATTAGGTGTTCCACTAAAATAAATGCTAATTGCATTGTCATTCCAGCAACGCGCCATCAAATGGAGCACTTCCTTGCACGGACAGTACGGGCACCCGGTCTTGCACAAGCTCATTGCTCACGTTTTTTGGACGGAGGGCAACGTAGAGGCGGCACGGCACCACTATCTGCTCTGTCAGGACGGCAGCCTCTGTGGTCGAGTTTTGATTGAAATCAGCCAGAGCAGAGGCTTCCAAAGCGAGGTGGATTTGTTTCTTGTGCAGGCAGTTCTTCAGCAACTGTCGCTAAAGGATCGAAAATCTGCCGAGGAGACGTTCACTGAGTACACACGCTACCACCCTAAGCTACTTAAACATGAGTTTCCCTACCAGGAGCCACTGGTTAACTTTTTGTACTTTCTGTTTCGCTTGATTGACACAAAGAGTGTGACGGGCTTCCGTGCTTTGCAAAAGCTCTACGATCCTTCTCTTAAGCGGGACACGTCGTTCTTAAAGTACGCAACGAAAATTGGAGTCGTCTACTTTGACGAGCAGCCGGAGACCCAAGCCGGCCCTCCCGGATTGGGTGGGATGTTCGGCGACATTTTCAGTCGTCTGATGCAAGGCTTTGACGAGGAGGAGGAGGAAGATCAGAGCACGCCAGCGAGAAGTCAGAACGTCAACAATGAACTGGACTAACACGAGCTCCAGCTGCATCTTTGACATGAATGGCGATGGAGAGCTACAAGGTGCTTTCTATTAATAGGAGCTTTTAGTCAACGAGGTTCATTGGCGCTTTGGCACCGGACTATTCTTTTCCTTGTTATAATTTTAATATACTGTATGCAAAATTATATAACATAAGAGTATAGTCGCAATAATTGCTATGTAGATTCCATAGAATTTCGAATGGAGAATATATGATATATATTTCACAAAGGATATAGCGTAATCAGAAAAGTCATATCTGATGTTCGTAAAGGGATACTAATATTGGATATCACTTCCATATTTTCAAAGAACCCCTTAATATTTTAAAAATTGCGATGGGACGACGTCACAGCTATAAAAATAATCAATGTGACCAGTCTACTCATAGCACAACCCGGAAAGACTAAATAAAATACAAGTCACATGATGAAATTAAAACTTCCATCCCATTCCGAGATTGCAGTTAACAATGCTCACCTGTAAGAAAACACTTTCGACGGGCCCAATATTTTAAATTATCATCGATAGAGTTAATTTTAACAGCAATTTAACTTTTTAACTTCCCCTTTATTTAATTTCAAAAGAGCCTTAGCCATTAAAAAGCTGAATTGGCAGCACTGACTCCGTGGGGAATTAAATACCAAATACCAAATAGTACTTTGTCTCAGAGAAAATTAATCGGAAGTAGATATGTATAAACAAATTATTTTGGTTTCGCTTTAGTTTTGTTTTACTGCTATAAATTCAGACTTTCGTAACTTCAAGAATACCCGGCTGAAAGTACCCCGTGCAGGGAAAGGAGACGAAGCAACACGAGAGGCCGCGGTACGCACGCAGAGTAAGCTAAATCGAACAGGTCAAACTCGAGTGCAGACGTTTAACACAAACAGTATATGGTGTGACATTTGCAGCGAAATGGCTGACAATGCGGCAGCGCCCACTGCCGATTTTGCAACTGCAACTGACGTAAATACCGATGTTAGCTCGTCGCCGCCCGTAACCCCACTCAAGTCCGCAGAAGACCACACAACTCTTATATTTCCCCCTGCTCCAGGATCAGGGGACGCCCATGTCTCCACCTCCGAAGATAAGGATAAAGCACCGACAAATGCCACAACATCCACAACCGTTTTGGTGGGTGGAGAGAACCCGGAATCGGAGCGTTGTTGTTGGATTTGCTTTGCTACTGACGAGGACAACCATTTGGCTGCCTGGGTGAAGCCGTGCCAGTGTCGTGGGACTACCAAGTGGGTGCATCAGAGCTGCCTATATCGCTGGATCGATGAAAAAACTCAGAAGGGAAATCCGTTGCGCACAGTATCCTGCCCTCAGTGTCAAACGGAATACATAATTGTGCTCCCACAAATGGGAAAACTCTGTGGAGCGTTGGAGGCGATGGATATTATGATTAAACGACTGAGTCCATTCCTGGCCGCTGGTTTCTTTGTGGGCTCGCTATATTGGACAGCAGTTACTTACGGGGCAGTAACATTTCTACAGGCAAGCACTTAGTCAATTTTTGGTCACCAAGATTACCTGAAAACCCCATTTCTTACCACAGATTGTGGGTCATGAGCACGGCATGTCCATAATGGAGGCGGGCGATCCGCTTGTTCTTCTCATCGGATTGCCAGCCATTCCAGTTGGTCTGGTGCTTGGCCGTTTAATTCGCTGGGAAGATGCTCTGATGCGTCTGTTTCGCAACCGCGGCACCGTGGTGCGCAAATTTCCATTTGTGAACCTCATCTATCCGAGCCTGTAAGAGAACTACACTACTTTGAAACTCACAGTATTAATTCGTTCGTTAATTAATTCCACAGTACCCAGGAGGAACTGCCAGTAAACAGCAATCCGGCCACTCCTGCTCTGTCGGATCCAGTTTCTGCAACGCGTGTTTTCTGCGGCGCTCTTCTTTTGCCCACCATCTCGTCCATTGTGGGTCGCATTCTCTTCGACTCTGTGGACAATACGTTACATCGCACGCTACTAGGGGGTCTTACCTTTATAACGGTCAAAGGTATCCTAAAAATTTATTTGAAGCAGAAGCAATATGCGCGCCGGAAGAAGCGTCGCATCGTGGACTACACTGAGGAAAATATACGAAATTTCATGCATCGCAACACCAATAACCCTGTCGGCGGAGCACGTCAGCAACAGCAGCCACAGCAGCCCCCTGTGGCCCAAGCATCCCGAGTAGCCGCAGCAGCGGCCCGGGAAAGAGAGCATGGGGACATTGTGTAGATGGGCGTCACAGTGGACCCACCTGATAATGCTAACGTTTTTTTTATAATACACCGCCCTTCACGTTGATTGCTTTAACTCTCGCACCTGAAGGACCACACCATTCACCACCTGCGGTACGCGCTCTACCAGATTGATTGCAAGAGTCACCAGGAAATTAAGAGTTTTGAAATATTTGGCCAAATTTGTTCGTATCAACAAAAACTAATAAACCTCCTTCTCCCCCGTTTTTCTCTATAGATCTATCTATAGATGTAACACCCAAGTAGGTTAAATACACACATCTATATATATATTATGCTTCCACATATTTGAATTTATTCGTTACCATTTTTGTAAATTACAAAGTTGCCTCTGTAAATAAAAGCAAACCCTCGGCTGTGGGTTATATAACTATTGTATTACAGTTATCTGAGGACATGAGCCGGTTTTTTTGCCCCTGCAACGTCCCGAAATTTGGAACCGCTTGGCCCTGCTTTGAATTTTGGTATTATGCAATAGTGTGAGCTACTTAGTGAAATTGGGAAACTTGTAGATCTTTATTTCACCGAGGTCCGTACGGTGCGGTGCAAGAGAGCGCATACAGAGACTGTTTATTAAATACTGGATCAGCCCGATGTGGCTGGACTTGGGCTGCTGAGTCAGTCCCATTCAAAATGATGTACCCGCAAGGCGACTGGCCGCATGGCATATGTATGTACATAAATACATATGTACATATTTATGAACCTCTACACAGGTGTGTGATTCATATATCCCCAGCTCTCAAGTCTTCCCAGTCGAACTTGGTTGCTTCCAAAAAACACTAAGCACTGCTTTCCCTAGAGAATGCATTCTATATATACATGTATGTTCGTGACGTTCTCGCTTCCAGTTTACACGGGGTGAAACACACGGGCAGCATGTTTTTATACCCGGTACTCGAAGAGTGCAAAGGGTATATGGTATTTGTGGGGAAGAGTTTCCGACCCCACAAGGTGCGTATATATTTAGTTGTTCAGCAATGATAGTCGAGTCTATATAGCCATGTCTGTCTGTCCTTATCAGCGCCGAGTATTCAGAGACCATAAGAGATAGGGCAATTACGTTTTATATCCAGACTTCTGTATGCTCACACTGTTACAAGTGTATTTAAAAAAAAAAAACGAGAAGGGACGTGTGAGACGCTTCTTACGCGTCACAACTTTTATACCCGGCACTCAGTACTCCATCTGCACCTTAGCGGTCTTTTGTCAAATTTTACATTTTTTCTTCATTTGTCATCTACATGTACAACACTTCTCATACCAACACGCTCCGTTAGCTCGCCCTGATCTGATAGATATGGCAATTCCCTACAGAATGGCGTTTTTAGTTTTCTTTGAACTTCAAAATTGTAGATTTGGGAGGTTTTCGACGTTTTGCGGGGGCGGAAGGGGGCGTGGCTCATTTTTGAAATACACTGGTTTCAGTGTGAGCATATAGCAGTGACCTACGTTTTAAACCACCGAGATCGAGAATATCAGAGACTCTTGATCGGCTGTTTGTTCTGCCTGTCTGCCTGTCTGTCTGTACCGAGATAGCTGAGCCGATAACTACGACTAGTTCTTATATATATGAAATACCCCAGCCTTTGCGAAGGAAGACACGCAATGTATGTTCCGTTATTCACACAAATACAATATACCCTCTTTACTCTTCGAGTACCGGGGATAAAAACGCAGCTAGAGACTCGAGCTACAAGTGTATTAGTGCATGCAGCCAATGACTTTTTAGCGCTCCAAACCGGTTTTGTCTTGATTCACTTGGACACTGCGAGTAATGTATGTGTTGGTGCGCCGACTTTCTGAACTGCGATAGAGTTTCGTTTTGATGATTTGATTTTGTTTTCGGGGGTTGGCGTATGAACCTGATCTGCCGCAACATGTGCAGAATGAGGGGTGGGGATTGGTGGCCGGACCCTTGGGGGTTAAAAAAAAATAAATATACCAACAAAAGTTGTTATTGTATGCTGTAATTGTTTTATATGCAGATTTTATACTGCTTTATTCAAAATTGTATGCATTAATTATGGAAACGCCGTCGCTTCTCGACTTCGTTGCTGCCGTATTATCAACATTGTTACCAAATCCAATTTTTTCAGACAAATCTTTTCAGATAAATAAAAAAACATATATATGTATATATGCATATATGTAAACACATATGCATATACATGTGTATATATATATATATGTACATACATCTTTCCAATTTCTGTTCTCGTCGTCGTTTATTTTCTCGACTTCATGTGCACTTTAATTGTTAGCGCTGATCTAACATACCATTCGAAATGAAAACCCTCAAGACTTTATGAAGAAGCTTGCCTCTCAATATATGCTTTATATAATTTAGAATGAAAGGGGTAACGGATATAAACATCTGAATATGTATACAAATAATGAATTACCGCAATTGACTTTGCGTTTCAAATATTTTCCATTAGAGTATTCAGAGTCACGGTGTGAACAAGCATGAAGTTTTAACGGAAGCAAGGCGGCTGCCTTGCACATGTACACACACACTAACACTTGCACATTTTCCTCCGACTCCCATCGGCAAATCGACACTTGCAGTGTCCGTGTGAATCAAGAAAAAACCGGTTTGGAGCTCTAAAAAATCATTGGCTACACGCACTTATACAAATGTAGCTGGGACTTCTGGCTGCGTGCTCTACACGCACTTATACAAATGTAGCTGGGACTTCTAGCTGCGTGCTCTACACGCACTAATACTTGCAGCTGCGACGTTGGCAGAGGCCTGGGACTTCGAGACGCACATTCAGCGGTGACGTTTCGCTTCCATGAAATTAATAATCTATACTATTTGGTTAGTTCCGTAAGTAAGTAAGATTTAGAGCATTTGTCGAAGGTCATCAATTCACAGTGATAACTGACCATGCCTGCATTCAAGGTTAGCTCGACGTTCTCTCAAGCTGCAAGGCTTCCGGTTTAGCATCGAACATAGGAAGGGAACCCAGAATGTATTCCCGGTAGTATTTTCAAGGGTCCATCAAGCTGAAATCGCGGCTATTAATAATAGTAATGGCCTGCTTGTGGATATATACTCTCCTCACTTCAAATCGGTAAAATATCTCGAGCTAGTGGATAGGGTAACAAGCAACCAGGAGCAATTACCAGACGTAAAAGTTGTCGATAACTAAGCTTACCGAAGATCAGAGCATGCGAATGGGGCTTTGCTTCATGACTCGTTTTTCGGAAAGCTTTGGGTGCCTAGCGAATTAGTCAGCGTGATCTTAAAACAGTCGCATGATGATCTTCTAGCATGGGGGAATCCATAAGACCTTAGAGCGAGTCCGACGGTACTAATTTTGGCCGGGATTGGATAACGACGTGAAAGCCTATATAAACAACTGCAACGAATACAAGACAGCAAAGGCGCCGAACTTTACCTTACGACCACCGATGGGAAAGGCGACACAATCACAACGATTCTTTCAGAGATTGTACATAGACTTTCTGGGTCCGTATCCGAGGTCGCGAAGTGGTCATGTCGCTATATTTATCGTATTAGACCATTATTCCAAATTTGTGTTCCGTGAAGAAACTGACTGCGGATGTAGTCATTAAATACTTGCGGGAAGATCTTTTCCATACTTTCGGGGTCAGACTCCATAGTGTCGGATAATGGATCCCAATTTAAAGCTGAGAAGTTCCAAAACCTTTTAAAAAGCCACCGGAACTCTCATACCTTGACAGCGGTACACGCGCCACAGGCCAATGCCATATTACATGGTGTTTGGGCAGCAGATGATTATTTCCGGGGCTACTTACTCCCTTTTGAGATCGCTCAAAATGCTAGAAGATAGAGCGGCAAGCTTTACCAAGGAAGATTCTTTGGAGTTGGTCCGGAAAAAAGCTAGAGAAGTAATGGACAAGCAAAATGCTCGGAATGAAACACAATACAATCTGAGGTCGAGAGAGGTAGTGTACCAAGTAGGACAGGAAGTGTATAGGAGAAATTTCAAGCAAAGAAACTTTCAAGCTTTAATTAGTAAACTCCTTCCATGCTTAGTTAATCGTAGAAAAATGCTTGGTGTAATTTGTATGCACAACTTGATCAAGGGGGATGTAGACAGCCCTGACAGCCGCGTAAACTCCCTTCCTCTTCTTAAATCTCTTATACTAGCCTACCACTCCCGTAGATAGTTTCATTTCAGTTTTGTCTTGTTTCTGATTTTGGTAATTTTTGCTTGCTTAGCTATAGTTGCTCTAGTTTAGTTGTGTTTAGAATAATATTAGCCTAACATCTATCTTTCTTGCATGCTTGCGACCGGTTCGGTTAAGCGCGCCGCGTGTCATGCGGCAGCGCCCCTCGGTCGGTTGGGCGGGAGAAGGGCTGCGTCCTGCTGGGTTCCGCGCGTAACATTCTTTGGCTTGGTGTCGCATGGGCCACTTGATGGTGCAGTCATTGCATATCAACGTCCAGACAGATAATGCAAAACTGGGACATGCTTTCGTGAAGGCTAGAATCCGGAGAAAACTCGGTAATTCGATATACGAGCTGGAAGATCTACAAGGCCGAAGCAGGCAGGCAATGACAGGCAATGACAGCTACAAGCGGATTATCCTCGTGAACATTCTGATCTTGGCAGGGGGGAGTTGTACGGTGAGGCGTGTAGCTGTTTTGTGAGAAAGTTTTGGGGATCCGCCGAAAAATAGGCACTGCCAGGCTGTAGCATGTCACCTACAACAATAGTTGTTGTAGCTGTGCCACTCGAGCTGGTCGGGGGTGTAACCAATAAGGAGGGTGCACGCGCTGGCTGCGGCTGTATGATCGGTAGAAGGGGGGGTTCCGATAATTGCTTATTGTTACTTTCTCGCATTGATGCTATTTCTTATTAATTTTTTTCGCGTGCAGACCTATGCTAGACCGTAGGGAAGGGAATGAGGGGGATAGGGGGATGACTTAGGAAAAGGTGAAGTAACCGGAAGGGGAAAACTTAACCACCGAAATACATATCCACCATGATTGACGGCTGCGCTGGTCACCCAACCATGATCATCCTATAAATTCCAAGAGATGTATTAGTTTCGAATGATCCCTTTTTAGTCATGGTTATTCTATATTCCACACGGTGAACGTTGCATGGGTCCTTAATAAAAAAATCTCTAGCAATTTATTTTCAACAAATTAATGATAGGTTTATTATAAATAATGAGAGTTCATTCCTAATATATGGGTATGTATGTATATAAAGAGAAAATTATAAGAAAAATTGTTTACTATCAAATAAAGGGGCTACAAAATATATATGAATAAGTGAATAAGGTGAATAAGGAAATATTAATTATAATAAGTTTAATAGTTAGATTAAATTAATTGTATTCAAAATGTAAAGTTTTAATTTAGTT